GCTTGAAATGTCCAATTTCAATGAATGACCCCTCATTTTAAAGATCACATAATCAGGTATCTGAAAGTACCAATAACTTTAATTTCAATTTTTGCTACAACTTATCCATTTTGCCACAACATGCCTCATTTTGTCAATATGGCCTATCATATTACTGTATCATGTTTCACTTCACATAGAAGTGCAAGATTCCTTGTTCTTATTTTTTATATAAAAATAATATAAATAGTAATATATTGTTATTTCAAGTAATACATATTACATAATGCCAATATGTGTTTGTTGTGTGTTCTGTGCTATAAATAACACTAACACTTTAGAAACCTGTGGAGAATGGTTTTGGTTGTTGAGTGTAAAGCCGCGTGGGTACACACTTGGTTGAAAAATTCGTATCTCCTCTCTGTAAGCTTTGGACGATGTGACACCATCTGCTGATTGTCGGTGGCGGTGTGAGTGGATCATTATTAAAATGATCCGTTGTGCATGCCTTGTCATGTTGCATTCTCCTTTTAATCATGTCATATGACAACCGTCAGTGCAGCTTGTGTTTTCTTTTGTTTTACATTAGCCAACTTTTTTAAAGCAGCTTCAGACTGCTTCAACTTGAGGCACTATGGATATAAATTATGATATGAATTACTATTAATACAAGAAAAATTAATAAAAGTTTTACACACGATTGAACCTAGGACTTAGAATCAAAATGTGAGCATTCTAAAACTACATCGTTTTCCAAAACAACTTCTAAGAAAGTACTTCATTAGGATTATATAGGGGAAATAAAACAAATGTAAAAGGGTTTGAACCCAGGATGTTACAATCATAAGGTGAGTATCTTAACCATCAAACCACAGACCAGTCCCCTAAAATTCCAGTATGTTTTTCCAATGTAATCAAATTCAAAGAAAGTATGTCCAAATATTTTCTTGAAGATTATTTATGTGATTATTCCTATGGGGAGTTATTTGTGTAACTTTATCTGAATGTTTGTTTACAAAATTCATTGCAATGCCTATCACAGAATGTAAGTGACTGTACGCGGTGTGATTTGATTGGGGAAGCCACAGCCTGTATTCATCTCCCTCTGATTTGACCTATGACCTATGCTACAGATAATCCTAATGATGACAAGTGCCTTCAATCAAAAACTGATATCTATTTAAAAGCAGTAATCCCATGTGTTCATGTGATGCTGCGTATTTCAGTAAATTCCGGCCGTTGTTGCATCTACGTTACGGTGCTTTGCATCACAGGAAGGAAAAATCAGGATGTTAACATTTTAATGAGAAATTATAGGATGAATACACTCACTTAAACTGTATGTATCTGTACCCAACTGGTTGGATGTAATGTACCATAACATAATGAAAGTAAAGAAATAGGATTTATATTTGGTAATCAACAGCATAGCATCTGTTCTGGATGATGCTCTTATTTTTGACATACGATTTAGACATGAAATTGCAGTTTTATAAACTGAATTAAAGATATATAATTTAACTTATTGAGTAGTTGATTGTATGAGTTTATCAGCTGGGTTTGTGTGTGGGTGGAAAGGGAAGTATATGTGGTTATGATGGATTATCATTGTCCTGATGCTTTATTTCTTGGTTAATTCTTTCTGATGCATCTAATAATAATCATATTATGGTATAACTATGGTGGTATCTGGAAAAATATTAAATTATAAATAATTCACTTATAAAATCACAGTAAATAACAATTGTTATTTGATAATATATAAATAAATTAGCCATATGTGGCAAAGACGAGCCAAACCAGTATTAACTCCTCACTAATTATGTTTCTGAAATAGGAACACCCCCAAAGCAATTTACAATTATTATATTATATAATAGTATTTAGGCAATTTAAATACGGTGCTCAGTTTATTTTTTGGAGTTTCCTGTAGCTCAACAAGGGATATTTAAGGGGTTCAGTGAAATAAATGTTGCTTCCATTGTTGATTTAAGATCAAAGAATTACTTTTTGGCATCTTTCCATTCATAATAAAAAATTAATGTCTAAAAAAACCTATGAAAGTAATTTTGGTATGGAAATACTTTAAAAACCCGAAAAATGTTGACTAATTGGTAATGAACTCCATAATCATAATTTATTCAGTGCTTCTAGCAAGAAAGCAAAGTCATAAAACGAATACAGATTTCACTGTGTAAATGTTAGGGAAGACATAGAATGTCATCAGTCTGTTGAAAAACAAAAGCTGTCCACTAATGAACACTTGGATTCCTCAGTCCTGCCTAATTGTAAAACTAGGCTTGGTTTATGGCTGATGGATCAAGATGATTAACTGGCTTGGCTATGCCTAACAGATGCCGAATGGCTTGGACATACACTAGAATTTTACCTCTTGTCTCAGTCAGAGTTGGATTTTTCTCAGCTTTGGGTTTTTAACATTTTCATATGGATATTACTGTAACATGTTTGATACAGGTAGGAAAAATTTTCTAAGTATTATTGAAAGGAAACAATTTCTTGTTTATAATGTATTTTATTGTTATATTTTATGTAAAACTATAGGAAATTTGTGGATAAATGTAGGAAACATTCACTAAAGTGTTAGAACAAAGGAAACACAATTCTTGTTCAAATGTAATAATAATAATAACTTTATTTTAAAACAGAGAAAACTTGTATCACCATATTGGTGTTTTTCACAAGGCCATTTTTGCAAGAAGATAAAAATGAAATGAAGAAACCTAAATATAAAAAAACACATACATATTGAAATACATACTGAACAAAGAATAGTAAAATTTTAACGTTATAAAGATAAAAAGTAATGTCATGACAATGTAGAACAGTTTAAGGTTTATTGTACATTATTTAAAATATTTAATCCTGTCAGTTATTAGTCTTTTAAAAGTATAAATATTAGAAGCAGTTGTTGCAAAATTATTTAAATTATTTAGGTTATTCCAGATTTCTGCCCCATGGTATGAAAAACTTCTTTTTTTATATTCAGTCTTTTGTTTATGGTAGCGTAAAATGTCATTTGACCTTGTTTCATGTTCACATTCATGAAACCGGTTTTTTAAGTAGGATGGTGCTAAATTATTCATTATCATAAACTGTTACTGGGCTCATCCATATACTTTTTTATTTTTTTTATTTGGCCAATTTAAGTCTCTTAGTGCCTGTGAACTGGAATCGTATCTGTACTTTTGAGTTATTATTTTTGCTGCTCTATTTTGTAGTACTTGAAATTTATTTTTCAGTGTTTGGTTACAACGACCCCATACAACATTGTAGTAGTCAAAGTGGTGTAATACGATTGATTTATACATTATTGTTTGGACATTTTTGGGGGGAATATTTCACTGCATTTAGGTAGTAGATTCTAGATAGTACCCGCCGACTGCAAATATTGATGATTTTGAATAAAAATAAAATTTAATTTTTGGTCAATTAGTGCACCGGCCGCCACGAAAAAGTGGAAATTTCAGAAAAAAAATTTTTTTTATCCTTATTTTTATTACATCCTCCACTGCCTTTAAATCACCAAAGATAAGATATGTATATTTTTTGCTAATCATATAAATTTGAAGCATTTAACCATCCTATTTTACATTCACCAATAAAATTATATTTTTATTTTCACCCCCGTCTGGATGATTTAGACAAAATTATTTGCTAAATAAGAAAACAAAATTTTATTTTAAATTTTATTCCGCCCTCCTCTGATGATCTTTAAAAAAAATAAGTACCCGAAACAAGGAGTGAAAAAAGATTTTGCAGTGTTAACTTTTTTTATAACATGTGCTGCAGTGTTAATTTTTTTTAAGTGTAATGAGTTGGAGGTGTGTCCCACTCGGGAGAGTATAAATTGGTACCTGGTTGAAATAGTTTGGAATAGAATTGGTCTATGCTAAAATACAAACAAATATCAGCCTTCGGTTGTTGTAGCTTTACCATTATATATATCAGGATAGTTATAACGATAAATATAAATCATGTATTTAGATCATTGGATGCTGCTCTATAGTGTAGCGTAATGTAGGTCGTTTTAAATGATTATCCAAATTTGGTATTCTTTAACATGGAGGTAAAATAGGGTAGGTTGGTATTAAGCCAAATTCTCAACTGGTTGTTATTGTTTTTTTGACCTCTTCCAACCAATGAACTCCTAGAAGCTGGAAAAATCACATCAGGCACTTCAGGGGGAAAGGTAATTTATAGCCATGCTCAGGGGGAACACATGATACCTAGGCCCTGAGGCATCATTTCCAGGGTACTGACATTACTTGACATCAGGTAACTAATACCTTCTATTACCAAATATTAGTGTCACCCTACCACGGGGATTCAGTGATGACCTTTAACCTAACATGTATCATGTCTTAATTTAAAGGGAAAAATGTATAATTTGCTTAAAGGCACAGACTGACCCGTACAGTGTGAAGATTAGCAGGTGTGTATAGATAGTGTTGCTATGTACCCTACTACATCATCATCATTCATTCATAGCAAAGAAATCCCAGGATATTTTCATTTTCAGCAAGCAAGTATGAATTATTCAAAAATTAAGGTATGAGATTTCTACTTTAAGATTGATTATTGATTATTTTTATCACAGAGTTTTCCTTTTTGTGCATTGTAAAAATATAATGCCGTTACTACTGTTTATAACATTTTTATGATTGTTGATTTTATGATGGTAACATCATAACCACCATCATAACCTAGGGTATGACAGGTGGGTAGAATATTTCATTTACAAAAGTGTCATAAAACTGTCAATAAAATTGTACCTTTTGTTCCAAGTTATGGTACTTATTACAGTACTTTCCCATCTGTGAATAATCATGTTTGTTTTCATTCATCATCACCATCATGAATAACCATCATCATCATTGTTATTGACTTTGTTATTGGTTTCATCATAATTATTATTATCATAATCTTCATCATTATCATTACTACTATCCTAATTAATTATCAGTATCTATCACCATCACTTATGACCATTATCAATAGTTTGCCAACATTTTCATCCATGTTCATCATGATCATCATTGTTAAAATCATCATCAAGCTGCAAGCAAACATTAATCACCAGAGCCCCTCAGGCTTCTCTGCCCCTCCCCCATCATGCTACTGTCTCTTGTTCACATTAAAATCTGTCTTATCAAACAAAAGATATCAATAATTTTCTAGAGTAGACCAGTTTCCAGAACAGCATGCCACAATGACCTTGTACAATCTCTTAGTTTTTACACTTTTTTTACAAGAACACATGAGCACTGAGGCTCAAATTGCTTAAAAAATACGAACAGAATAACAAATTGAGATTGAGGTAAAATATCAAATGAGGTTTCTATTTAAAAAAAATACTAGTTTTACAGTATTGTTCTATATATATATATACACCGGTAGGTTAAGTTTTAATTCGCATTGTGTTATTTATACCTTATTTAATAATACCTACCAATGTATCAATGTTCGTCATTTTTTACCTTCAATGCCCTATATCTATAATCTATTCCCCGTATGAGATTTGAGAATAGACGTGGAGCTGGTATTTGCTGCTGGGAAATTTGACAAGATTAAACTTATTGTAGGACTTGCAGTAGGATAAGAAATAAGTAGGAAATTCAACAACTCCATGACTTGGTTTCCCAAATGCTGGAGAAACATCCCAATATCACCTTGAGCTATTCCATTCATTGAATTCTTTACCAAAAATAGACATTGGCCAACTAATTATTTACTACTAGAGAAAGTGAAGCCAGTGAAGTGTGCAGATGAAACCCAATGAATAAGTAATTCTAGAACAAATGTTTCATCGTACAGATTTCATGGTAAATACAGGTTTCTTAACAAGGGAAATCGGTTTGGTACAGCACACTTTCCATTCAAGTTCTAAACCCTGTGGTCGAGAGTTTGAACCACACACTGACCATTCTTGACCAACTGTGGTTAATTGATACCTCAGTTTGCACTGTCGATGGCTGTGGTTTGTTTCAGCCAAGGTGCGAGTATTTCCAATTAAAAATACATAGAATTGAGGTACATGTAAATATTGTGGCCGTTTTCATTCCCTGAAAAAGGAAAAAAAATCCCAGGAAAATTTATATTTTTAAGGTTTTAATTAATGATGTTAACCAAATTTGGAGCATACAATTTACAGAGTTTAAGGTGACAGTCTTCTTTAGCTAATTAATTATTCTATTAGATAAATGTTTCAAATACGTTATAATGTACATCTCTTGATTTTCACAATAATAAGTTTCAAGCAACAAAATAGAAGGGGTGTAAAAATTATTGCCAGGTACTGAGTCAAGGTATGTTTAAAATTTATAAATGAAACTAGATTACAATTGTATGTACTATTTTGTAAGTATGCGAGTTTAATATTATTTTTTAATAATATATGTTTGATGAGTAGCAGAATGAATTAGTCAATTAAGGTTTCTTATGGTAATAAAGTGTTCAATGTATTAAATAATAATATATCGTCATTTGAAAGTTACAATGCCATTGTTATTTAACACACTTATAATGAAGTTGCCATTCTTTAATAATAATAATAATTATTCAATGAAAGAAAACCAATCTTAAGTATCCCTCAATATATTTTAATATCATTTAAATGCTTAAAAAATATTTTTCAATGTCATGAGGAATCTTAAATAATTAATATAATAATAATAATTATAATAATAATAAATAATAATAATAATAATAATATAATTATTGGAGAATATAATATTTGCCGCAGTACTACAATTCATTGATAGTTAATTACTTTCATGATGAAAGAAATGTTTCGTTCTTATTGCAAGGTATGGGAGTTTCTCTGGCTACCAGCATCATTGACGTCATCGCTAATTGTGTTTAAAAATATTTTTTTTACATCCTTTCAAATGATGAATATATTAACTGTTTATTACTTATACTTTGGTACTACAATTCCATTGATCCTCATGCATAATTGAATATAATAATAAAACATTATCTCAACTCTTAATGATGATTAGAATTTCAGGATCAAACACAAGTTCTTATAGCTATATTAAATTATATTACAGAGTTAACCTTAAACAATTGCTTTCAATCACTTGGACCATGAAATTTAAAATAAACGGTTATTTTATTTTTATTTTATTTTATTTTATTCATTTGGCATGATGGCTCAGGAGTCACAAAAGCGGAAAATCCACTGTCGCCTGAAGGACGTGCGGCCTATTTACAGTAGGCCTACTGGTATAATTTATTTTATGAATGTTTGATGCATTGTCAAATTGGGGAACATACAGTAGGCTAGTTTCATCCTACTGTAGGTAGGAGGGGCTGCAAAAATTGAGATTGTGGAACTAAATCTCAATTCTAATTTTTAGTATTTTTAACCCAATTAGTAGAACTAATTTGCTACCATTTGGGGGGGGGGGAACTTCAGCCTACACCCATGAAAATATTCTTTTTGTTTGTTT